AGTAGAAGAACTTGGACTTAATTATGTGAGATAATGGATATACTGATTTGCTTTATTATAACAGACATTTCAGTATGTATAAATATATTAAGACCTCACTCCCTGAATAGATAAAGTTTTTTTTTTAAAAAATGAAAAACAATGGAAATATCTGTTATGTAGTAAATCAATTTACGGATTAAAAAAAATCCCTTGGGTTGGGAGTGGTAGCACCCACCTTTAATCCCAGCACTCCAAGCAGAGGCAGAGGCAGGATGTGAATTCAAGCCAGCCTGGTCTAGATAGTGACACACTGTCTCAAAAGAAAAAAAAAAAGGAAAAAGAAAAAAAAATCGCCCCTCAAAAGATTTCTAAAGCGCTTGCTTTGACCATCTGTACATTTTGCACTTAATTTAGCATAAATTAAGCATCGCATCAAGGAAGAATTCAAAGCAAAGCCTTTAGTGGAAAGTTAGAGAGCTGAGTTAGTGATCAGAAACAATGGAAGAAGCTTGAGGCAATGAACTCATTAGATCCTGACCCAGGAACCAGGGGTGGGACCTGTCCTTTTACCTTCCACCCCCACACTGACCCCAGAACTCTTTTTAAAGGTTCTGCAAATTATACTTTTCTCTAGCCCTATGTGAATGCTCCCTATATCACAAATATATCTTTACGTAGATTAGGAATGCTGCAATGTACAGTTTATTTGCTGGAATCTCTAGTGGTAATGTCGAAGATGACACAAGAAAATTAAATTACTAAGTGACTTCTGAAAGTGCCCAAAGGAGAATACTGGTGGAACCTGATCCTGGGCATAAGTTATTATTATTTTGTCTATTTTGAGACAGGGTCTCCCTGTAGCCCCAGCTGTCCTGAAACTCACTATGTAGACCAGGCTGGCCTCGAACTCAGAGATCTGCCTGCCTCTGCCTCCCAAGGGCTGGGATCAAAGGCGTGCGCCATCATGCCTGGCCCCTAAGTTATTATTTTTTTTTTTAAAAAAACCAAATAAACAAAACACAGTTAAACTTGTTACTATTCCTATTTAAGGGAATGTGGACAAGCAATTTTATAACAATATTAACTGTCTTAAAATGTCAAAAACAATTATCTGAAAACCCAATAGACCAGGATAACTAAGATAAACAAAACCAAAAAAGAATACAAACTACCCCAAATTAACATTTTGAGGTTCATTTACTATTCGAAAATTATACTGTCTGGTTAGTTTTCATGTCCTACTAATCTTATAACCTTATCCCATTATTAGTGAGCTTAATTTCTATGACTATATGTTATGACTTAACTGTTTAGTTTGACAATGATTTTCTAACTTTGAATTCTTCATGATAGAGCTGCTTATACTTTTGTAGTTCTAGTTTATCAAAATCTTCTTGAGTTTTCATTTTAGAGAGCTCAGATTCTAGGTCTTTAATTCTGACTTCCATCTGGTTTCTTAAGGAAGTAGTATTCTGTTCTCTTAATTGCTCTAAGTTTTCTTGAGATACTGCTTGTGTCTAAAGCAAATTAACATTGTATTTTAAAAACAATTATAATCAAAATTATTATTATTCATTTGTTTTCTTTAACTTTTGAGTCAGTGATTCAGAGAACAATTTAAGTTTGTGAAAAAAAGCTGCTGTTGCTGGAATTTAAAATAATTATCAGGGGTTGCAAGATGGCTCAGTGGTTAATAGCACTGGCTTCTCTTGTAGAGGACCTGGGGTTGATTCCAAGTACCCATATGGTGGCTCACAATCATCTCTAACTCCAGTTGCAGAGGATCGGATGCCCTCTTCTGGTCTCCATGAGGACCAGGCACCCACATGGTGCATATACATACATGTTGGCAAAACATACACATAAAAAGTAAAAACAAAAAACCAAAAAAAACCTTAAAAGATCATTACTATCAACTGTGCTACTTATTATTTTTAAAACTGAATATTTATTTATTTATTTATTTATTTATTTATTTATTTATTTATTTTATTGTCCTGTGACTCAACTCCAAGGCCTCCTACATGCTAAGCACACACTTTACCACAGTGTCTCCCGAGTCCTCAGTGATTCTCATGTTAGTTCTCATATCTGATAATCCAACGAACAACAGAACCAGTTCCAAAACTTAAGAACTGAACTAAGATGACTTAAGAATATCTCAAGAGTATCATATAATTTATACATCATGATACTTATTTTCCTTCTAGTCTTAATTTATGCTAACTAGCCTTAAAAGGTCAAATGATTCTCTGATGAAAACCATTACTCCGAAAGAGCAACTGAGTTATAATAATGAAAAACAAATACTTAAAAGAAGAATCACACATCATATTCCTTCTAAAAATCAATGAAACAAATTGTAAAGGAAACACTGTGTATAGATCCAAAATATAATTTGCAGTGAAATGAATTAAAGAGCAGCACAGAAAAACTAACCTGCAAAAACAGATTGACTTGCTTTAACTTTTCCACCAGCTCCTGCCTTGCTTTCTCTTCAATCTCCCGTTTATACTGCTCTACCTGGCCAAGTTCTACCAGGGTCTTTTCCATGTGACTTTTGAGGTTTACTACTTCTTGTTCCAATTTCTTTTTGTTCTTCTCTAGCTTTCCACATCTCTTTTGTATAGTTTTCATAGATAATAACTCCTCCTGAAGAAGTTGATTTTTTTTATCCAGATGTAGACATTTTGAAGATGCAATTTCTAGTTTTGCTGTAAGATCATCAATATTCATGAATAAAATACAGTTTGGCAATGGAGGAGGAAGGCTGAGAACAGGGTAGCACAAAACCAATTCCAAACTTTTGCACACCTTCAGCTGTAATAAAATCTAATCCGCACTGGATTCTTACAATGTGGTTCCTCAATTACTCAGAAAACAAGGTGAAAACCAGTCATGAGACATACTCCCGACGACCACTGTTTTACATGGTAGCACTTATGCTAGCTCTGTTTTCATATGACTCTTTCCTATCTTCCCTTCTCAAAGTGACTCTAAATCAACTTTTTGGTAGAAAATCTGTTACCATTTTCACCATCTTCACTCTCCATAATTTCTAAAGAAGTTTTAGGGATATAGTGAGTTATTCAGGCTCGTATTAATAAATCTTTCCTAGAACAAGACTGGAAATAATACTTAATGACTCTTGGTAAGGAACAATAACATCCCCAGGATAAATATGTTGACATAGTCCTTTTTTATTGAATAAAAATTCAGTAGCGTACTAAATAATTTGATGGGATTTCAACAGTAGTGTTGGGAAGAATTTTTTTTACTGTAGTTACGATGATTATTTAGTGAATCCTTCTGTAGGAAGTCCAGCTGACGACTGCTTCTAAAGGCTCAAAGGTCAGCTTCAATTGGCAACCAGGAGGATGAACAGCCTTTAGTTCAGATGGTTCCCAGCTTCATGCCACCTCAGACGATGCCAAGTGGAGAAGAAACAAACTGACTTCAATCTAAAATAAGAGCCTGAACTAAATACATGTAGCCTCTCTCCACATCAAATTGCCAAATAATGCTAAAATGTCTTCTGAAATAAGAAATCCAGATGCCTTGTGGAACACATGGTCTAAATATGAAGCTAAGACTCATGATTTAGAATCATGTCATAGTGGATTATCCAGCAGCCAGGGTTGGAGACATAGGAAAATCAACAGTATGCCCTTCTAATAGAAAATGACAGTTCACACTAGTATCAAGTCTGTTAACAATAACCTTCACTGCTCAGTGCACTCAGATTTATATTACTCAAAATTAGGAGATTTTTGGTTCCAAAATTGATTAAAATTTACCTTGTTTTTCAGCATGTTAGTTGGCATATCGTTTTCAAACTGACTGGTTTTTATATCTTGATGGAGACTGAACTCTTTGTTTTTGTGTTCATTTAATTCTTTTTTTGTCATTTTAACAGCTTCTTAAATCTGCAAATATATACAGAAGCTTTTAGAGAACACATATTTAATACTTAGATATAAATTATATCATATAAAGGAAATAAAATTATAAATTATGACCCTCTCTTATTTAACCTAAAGTTCAAAGCATTACTAATGAAATTAAAATCTTAGGTAAATATGAAGAAAAATGTACGCTATGTGTGGAAGCTAGAGTTAATACTACAACCACATAGAGAATACATACGATTTACATCCATTTTAGTATGTTCATGACACACTTTTTTTTTTGTCTTTTTGGGGCAAGGCCCCCCGGTAGCTACAGCTGGCCTGTATTCACAAATGGAGACCAGGCTGCCTTAAAACCCACAGAGCCCCCCCTGCCTCTGCCTCCTGAGTGCTGGGATTAAAGGTGTGTGCCACCATGCCCGGCAACACTCATTTTTAAATATTAGTTGTGACCTAGATATCTCCAATCAAGAAGAAATACTTACATATGAGTGTTTTAAGAGATACAAAAACAAACTAACTGCTGATAGCTTCTACAAGAAGAATGCACACAAACTAAGAGCACTGAAGCAGTTTAGTGGCGAGTGAATACTTAGCACCCAAACCCACACAAACTATCAAGATCATCCAAAATAGAAAAATGGACAAGAAAAAAATGTCTTTGAAGTTTGAGTGGAGGGGAAACAAAACAGAACTTCAGAAGAGACGAGTCAGCAGAGGTGATGTGCAAAGACTTAAAGACTATTAAGAAGAAACCTAGGAGTGTTTGATAGGACAATGTCCACGAAATTCAAAGATGTAAAACCATATACAGAGATCGAGGATACAGCTCAGTGGTAGAATGCTTGTGCAGTACAGGCAAGGCCCTGGGCTTCATCTCCAGCACCCTTCCTATCCCCAGCCTCCCTAACCCCCTCCCCGCACCCCCGAAACAGGTTAAGCCAGAGAAAAACATTGTTTGGAACCAGAGAGAAAACACAAATTCTCAATAAATAAACATCAACAAAAGAGCCAAGATGGGGGCTTCAGACAATGGAAAACCTCACCTTTAAAAGCTGGTGATAGAAACACAACTGTTTCCTTAATCGTCTTTAAGTCATACACATATTTTTGTAAGTACGAAACATATAAGGTCAGTTCTCT